AAAATTCTCTTACTGTAGTGTTTGGTGGCCAAATGCAGCATTGTTATACCACTGCTTGAGGTCATGAAAGATCCACTGATCAGAAATCTCTGTGAACAGATGTCACCCAACAGTCTCTAATAAGTGTGCAAAACATAATAAGAGCCAAATATGTGAGTCATTATTTCAGTTCTTACGGTGTTTATTGAATAATCTTCAGTGAAAATTTGTTCTCTGTAATTCTTAATCTGTGTCCCTCGGGTCAAGAAAGGAGAAAAGGAAGGAAATGCATATTTTGTCTCTTCGAGTGGGACAAAGAGCTGGGTATTTTTTGTAGCATATTTAAGTACCATGAGAGTGGCATTTTGAAATGTTGACTGCTTCCTTTCTGAATCTTCTTCTTTTTTTTTGCCCAGCGCACTGAAGACTTCATGAATATTTGCATTGAAGCAGATACTGTCAGCAAAGGGCAGTTTGTGAACAGAGGGTGAGTATGGGAACACTGTAAATAGATGCCCAAATCTCTGTACAAGTCAGAACACTGATTTTGGGGGGAATATATTATGTTTCTGTCTGATTTTCTGCTGTAAAACTCTGCAGCAGAGGTCATCAGTCAGTGATGCTTCGTGGAGATTGCTTCATTCTTTAAAATTCTTATGGATTTTTCTTTTTTTGGAAATAAGTCAGATCAGTCTACCTTGAGTTCTTTCTGGCTTCTCAGTTTCCTGTACCTTTCATCTTTGTCTCCACTGGTACTGGACGATGCTACTTGGAAAACACCATCATAACCAGTGTTTTATAGGCAACCGAAAAGACTTAAGTCCAGAATCTTTTACCTCTAGCTGCTTGGTGGTTTAAGAGCCATAGAGCTGATAAGCTTGTACTAGTGATACCTAACATTTCTGAGCTCTGATAAGACATAGCTTTTAAGTGAAGGGGCTCCCTTTGCACAGTAACTCCTCAAACATATGAGATCTGAGCTTGAACAGCTTTTGGAAGATGTGAGTTTATAGAAGGACTGTAAGCAAATGTGTCATATGTGAAGCAGGGAGGCTGCAGGTATGGAGAAGCAGCACATAGAGAAAGAGTGAGCAGATATTTCTTTCATGGGTTTGGGGTGTTGTCATGTAAAGTGATTGTTTGTCTGCTCTCACCAAATATCAGTCAGAACTGCTTTTTCCAGGTCCTCCATGCTGTCCCACCAGTAAATACACTGCATCTTCAGTGTGGTTTTTATTACCAATTGGTTTTCTTACTGAATCTAAGGCTGCTCTTCCGTATGACCATTTTTTTCCTCATACCATTTTCTAGGCATAGGGCCCCCTCTAGTGAAATCAGGTGGAATACATTTTTTGAATACATTCTTCACCTGATTGTCATCACTCTAAGAATTCCTGCTTGTGTGTCTTGTTTGTGATATTAATAGCAGAAGTGGGCCCTGTATTTGAGCATCCCAAGAGCCTCAGTAGGAATCAGGATGCCACCTGCAACTGCTTTTAGGCTGTATGAGCCACGTGGACTGTGTGTGCTTTAGACTGAGATGTTTGCTTTAAAGATTACAGAAAGAAAAGGAGGAAGAGCAGTGAGGGAAGTGTGGCCTCTTAGGGGGAAATGAAGGAGACGTTGCTCCCAGAAAAAATGTGGATGGCTTTGGGTGATGTATAGTTGGAGTGTTTGTCTGTACACCCAGTGCACAGTATCCCCCATGTGAGTTGGACATGGTTCACACAGCAGTGTGTCATATTTTTTCTGACTGGATGTACACTGCTGTGCAGAAGAAGCTTCTGATGAGCAGTGACGTGCCCTGCTAGCTAGCTCCTCACAACTTGGAACTGCTGTTCAACCAAAGTTCAGAGAGCTCTGCCCAAAAGTTTGTAAGTAACAACAAAAGAGAAGGAGGAGGTGTATGTGTTGGGGAGCAATGGGAGAACCCAGTTGCTCCTACAGAGAAGAGCCTAAATAGAAATAAAACACTGCTTTTTCAAGGCAAAATCGAGGTGCTCAGAGCAGATCTCTGCAGAATGCCCCTTGGCAGTTTGGTTTGAAATCAAGCCCTTATTACAGGTTCCCTATTACCCAGCACCAATAGAGTTTGCCTTTGGAAATGTACAAAGAAGCCATTTGTTTGTTTGTTTTGTTGTTAAAGCACCTCCACCAGAATTTGGAGGAGTTGGAAAGGTTTTAGAGAAACTGCCATATCAGTATGGGTATCCAGGTGGTTTTTTTTTTTGCATCAGAGCGCTGCAGAGCAGCTGTTATTGCATCCCAGAGAAAGGAGCAGTCATCCTAGGTGTATATAAGTGCTTTCCAGCTGTGGATCAGATTTGCGTGGACAAGAGCATCGCTGCAAGAGTAGAGCTGATAGTTAAGATGGGGTGGAGAAGGAGCAGGCAAATACACAGTAGTGCATACCAGAAAGTGCTGGAGGGAAGGAAAGATGGGAAGAGTAGCATGAGTATTCCCCACCCTGATAGCCAGCTTCTATTCTTTGTGTGAAAGCATGGAGTGCTTTCAGGGGATGGGTGCAGTGACCAGCAGCAGTGTAAAGACTCTTGTTTTTATTACAGAATTTTACATTGGCTGCTTCTGGAGACAAGAACTAGATTAAACATATCTGTTATCTACAGTAGGTTTTCCTTGCCTGTATTTTTGTAGTTCAGTGTATGGAGTGAGATTTAAATGAATTTAAAATATTGCTATTGGACTTTCTTTTCTTGCTCCTGTTTTCCTTAGCTATCTTGCCTCATATAAGGAGCTGAATCAAATGATCCTTTCTGATCTTCACCAAGAGAGTGGTGAGGTGCTGGCACAGCCTGCCCAAGGAGGTTGTGAATGCCCTGTCCCTGGAGGTGTTCAAGGCAGGTTGAATAGGGCCCTGGTCAGCCCAATCTAGGATTAGATATGCAGGTTGGCAGCCCTGCATACAGCAGGGGGTTTGGAGCTTGACGATCCTTGAGGTCCTTTCCAGCCCAAGCCATTCTATGATCCTTTCATACAGGATCACTGGAAAGGCAGATGCAGCAAGTCTCCTTTGACCATTCTTTAGTTATGTGTATTGTCTCTGTTGTACTAACTTTGATCCCATAATTGCATTTATGTAGATCCTCATTTACCTCTGTGGATCAAATAATCTTGCTCACCTGAGTACAGTAAGTAGGACCTTACATGTTAAACTTTGAGCAGGTTAAACCTTACATAGGGAATCTTGCTGCTTATTTGTACAGCACTGTATAAACTGTATAATTGCATGCCATCAATGATTTATCATTTATATTGCCAGGGGGATGTTTAATTCCCTCACATTCATTCATTAATCTTTTAGCATATACATATTGGATTAGAACAAACTTTTCATAGTTAATATTGCTCCCGTCTCTCCCTGCCCCTTCCTTTGGTGTCTGAGGTTTTCTTCCTTTGTCCTTCCGTTATTCTCTCCTCTTTCAGCCTTTTATGCTCTTTGCCTGGGATTTTCTGTGGTTGTAAAAGAAACTTGCATTTCTAGGGTATGGAATATTTGGTGTATAGGGTGTTTCTGACGTGCTTTTAGGACTTGTTTTCCTGGACAAGATCAAGTTATTTAAATTACTGCTTTGTTAAGTCCTCATAATGGACAGAGTTGCTTGGGACAGCTGATGTTGTTTATCTGAGAATATCTATGTGTGATAATTGTGCTGTGCTTGAGACCGTGCAGCTCTGCTGTCCCCTTAGCTATCTGTGTGTTGCTGTCTGTCTGCACAGGTACCAGAAAGAGGGGTGGGGTGCATTCTATTTGTTGTTGTTGTTGTTAAGAGTTTATTAGGTTGCTGGTAAGTGCATGGAATTTGAGAAGGATGTCATCCACTGTGGGCATTGCATCGTTCAGCATATAAGTGAGGAGCACAAGATTGTGCTATAAGAGTATATTCAAATTTATTCAGTGAACCTCAGAGCAGAAGTTGGTTGGAGGCTGTCAGTGCATGCTGAGATGTACAGCAGAAGAGGCAATCTGTATTTTATTTTCTCACAGTTAAGCTCACAAGTATTTGTATACATATATATAACCTTCAGGTTTGTCAACTGCATAGTGATTTACAAACCCATAGCAATGTGTCAGCTCTAAAGGTAGCTGCTTCTAAAGAAACTTCTCCATAGCTTACCTCTCTTTTGATTGAAACAGAAGTCAGAAGATGCGTGATCCACATATGTGTCCTGAGGGCAGTCAGTGCATCCAAGCCAGCAGATGCATCTTGCAACTTCCAGAGGTGAGAAGTTAAGGGAATGGGGAAACTTTGTAAATTCGCTTCCTAGTTCCACATGATACTGCACATCAGGAAATCCTTACTCCAGATCTGGGAGGTTCAGTATACTGTTGATGAGACACTCTGTTCCTCAGCGCAGCATCTCGGTCTCCAGCCAGGAGACACATACAGAAATTACAACCCAAGTGGTTTGTGAACTAGAGGGGGAGTTTTGTTCAGCCATGAAATAGACAGCTCCCCAGACCTGTCATGTATACAGCACTGGAGGTTGTAAAGGATCTCTTATTCAGATGCATTGAATCACAGAATCACAGAATTGCAGGGGTTGGAAGGGACCTCCAGAGATCATAGTGTCCAACCCCCCTGCCAAAGCAGGTTCCCTACAGCAGGTAATTGAATAGTCACACCTTCACCACTGTACTGAAGATAGAATTCCTCATTTACATTTTACACTAGAAGGGATTATGCCATCGAGAAGATAAATGTCAGCATTTTCATGTAGACAAAGTAGGAAGAGGAAAGGCAATGGGGCTCTGGTCAACACAAGGAAGTGTCGCTAAACTTTGAATACAGCAGGCTGAAAAAGAAGCCAAAATTGTGTCTGCCTGAGTAGTTTAGGTTAGTCTGGTGTTACCTCTTAGAAGAGAGCTGTTGCAGCCTTGGAATGGGCTGTTTCTTGGTTGTGCAAGGGCATTTCGTCAATCTCATGGATCATTTCTATCTTTAAAAGCCTTCATACCATTTGGAAAACAAATGTCATGTTAAGGGAGAATGGAACACACCAAAAAGTGAAAAAAATCTTTATCTGACAAGTGAAAATCATGGATTATGTAATCATTAGTCAGCACTGTAATATTTACATCAAGTTGGTATTGTGGCAATCTTGTATTTCTGAAAGAACACTCTGGAGTCTGGGCTAAATACAGATGAGCCATTGGTAGGGGTTGTGGTATAAAATCAGCTCTTCATACTACAAGCTGAGACCTTTGGAGTATTTGTGCACGCCACAGAGCAGTGTTGTTTTATGAATCCTTGATCTAGAGCTGATGAGGGAACTGGAGACAGCTCAGGCAAGTCTCACCAGTTTTGAGGATATGCTCACCAGGTGGACTGCTATAGCTCTGTGATTTAACAGGACCTATGCTACTTTCTTCTAAGCTCCTTTGATGTACCAGCTCATCTGGAGCTAGTTTAAGGATCAAAGTGGCAGCCTTGCCTAGAGTCAACGAAGTGCATGCAGAGCAGACACCAGATTTGTGCAGATAAAGTCAACCTGCCATTTTGATGAACAGTTTTAATCATTGGTGACTTTATCAGCATTAAAGTAAAAGATCAGGAAAATTCTGCGGAGTAAATCCTGACCTGTGTGAAATACTTTGCATTTCACATTTCAGATCAATATAGTAAAGCAATACGAAAAGGTGTTTGCAACGTGGATTTAATAGGAGTAATTTAACAGGCTCCTCTGCAGATTAGCTTGTGTCACCACTGGCAGATCAAGAAGAGCCAAGCACATATAATATAGTTCCAACAGCAAAGAGTCTTTCGGTATAAACAGTGTGGGTCATTAAATCTTCCTAGCGTTTAATTATCACCAATTAACAACTCACTGAGGTAACATTACACCACAGACTCTTATACATTCCTTGCAATGAAGAATAACTTTCTCTGCATAGTTGAGACCAAAGGGGCTGGAAGGCATGGGGAGGCTGTCACCTTGGTTAGCACCCAGCTAAGTGTTGAACTGCAGTCAGTCACTGAAATCAAGTCTCAGTATTACAGCATTGCTGAAATAACGTTTGCTGCTTAGCCCTGACCAGTACTGTTATCTGTACACAGGGCACTGAGGGATCCTTTGGCATTGATAACGAGGAATACGAAGCTATGCCTGTGGAGGTGAAGCTGTTACCCCGGAAACTCCGGTTCTTCTGTGATCCCAGAATGAGAGAGCAGATGCTCCGTGCAGCCATACAATGAGAATTAATATCAAAAGGGCCACTCTTCACCACTCCTGCCAGGTTCTCTTCAAGGCTGTCCTCACTAACTGGATTAACCCCACCAGATTAACAAGCCATTCAGCTACTTTATGCACAAGGTACTTCCATTGAAGGTGGCTATTTGGCTAGTCTCAAGGGGTTTGAAAGTGCAAGTTAGAATTCTAAGAATTGCGTGTTAACTTGATGGCATTTTTTTTTTCCCCTGAAGTCAATAGTGTTCCATTCACAGCACTACAGGCTGAGTGGTGAATGCCAAATGCTACTGCTTTAATGCAATTGTATGTTGAAGCAAAAAGAAAGAGTATTTGTCCTCGTGTTGTAAGAGTTTACATTATCTATGTATAAATCTCAGGAAAGCTGGGATCTTGGAAAAATTTGTTTCGGGTGCGGTCTAATGCTAAGTATGTGAAATGTTGGAATTGTTATATGAAACAGCTGAATGGTTATCTAATCTGTCCCAAAATAAATTGGAGATCAGTGACATGATTTCAAAGGAAGTTTGAAAACGCTCAGTATGTATGTATCTAGGTAAGATCTTTGTTTCCTCTTCACCTTGCCAGATTCAACAGTACAGAGCTTTAGTTAATAACATAGTAGAAATGTGTTCTCTTAGTTTAGGTATGTTTAGGTATGCTACACAGAAGCACACTGGAGAATCACCATGGACTAGGAGCTGTATGAAGTCCATGTGGAAAGACTTCAAGCCAAATGAGCCTTTCTTGTAAGTATTTCTTTTGTTCCTGTAGCAGCATAAGACAAATACAAGCTTCCAAATATCGTTTAATATTAATTGTACCTGGTTGCTTTTCTCACTAACATAAACAGTGCTCATCACCCTTATGCAGCCTTATATCCCTTTGAGCCCCAGTTCCATAATTGGCTTTGTTGATTTTGAGCTTTTTTTTTTTTTTTTTAAATAGCTTCACTTTAATTGCTGAAAGGAAATGGTATTGACTTCAGCAAGGTTATCTGTAGGCTTTATTATAACTTACAAGTTTACTTGATTCTGCCTTGTTTACTTGAGAACAATTGATCGTTATTTTTTCTGACGTGATTGCTGTTTGTGCACAGTCTCCATGCCTAGTCTAAATTCATCTGTTGATTCTTTGCTGTAGTCAAAGTAAGGACATTAGCGAATCGATTTCCAGTCACTTTCTTTAAGGCAGCATCCTGGCTGCATGCTGCTGCAACAGCATCCTCTGCTGTCAGCGTGCTGAAATCAAAATGCTTTGAAAGGGCAGAAACAGGTTGGTTTTCTGGGTGATGCTGGAACCAAACTGCATGCTGACCTTTCCTTGGCTGTAGGGGAAAGAAACTCATTACCTAAGCACTAAACCCTTTAATGACTATGATAAAGGAGAGCAGAGGCCTGTTAGAGGTTTCTAATGATAGTGCTGCTTACAAAGCCTGCATTGAGCTGTCTTTATTGGATCTGCAAACACAAGTGCCCTGCAGCTCCCTGGGTCACTCATACACCTTGGCTGCACTCTGTTCTTTTTACTTGCCACAGAGACACCTGGAATGTTGTTCTGCAGCCAATGTCAGGGGCAGTTCCCACCGAGTTTTTCCTGAAGCTGAGGCTTCCATAGGAAAATTAGCAGTGTTTTTGCCCAAGTAGCAGGAAAGACAAGGCAGCAGCCATTTCAGAAAGGTAAGCTTTAATTGTTTTAAAAAATACCTATGTATTAGTAAGCAGTTCTACTACACAGCCACAGGCCTGTGGGAACAACCGCACATCTGCGAGATGCAAATAACACCAGAGCTCTTATAACTACAACCAGCCTGCTTAAAGGGGCTAAATGATACCTACAGCTTCTGGTTCACCTGGACCATTTCAAGGGGAAAATGATTCACTCCTTTACCTACTACCAGATCCATGGCTTCTGAACAGTGTGATTCTTTGCTCAAGGGTAACCAAGAGCACTTTTCAGACCTGGTGCTGATAATGCTGTGCTGATGTTGAAGTATCAAGGCCAGTCTGAAATACAGGCTGATATTTAAATGCTTATATCAATGCAATTTGAATAGCTTATTTAAATGTCATTCAAGTGATTATTTTTTTTCCCTTCCTTCACAATTCAGAGGTCTCTCAATATGAAGTGGTTCTAGATATCTGAATTGCAACGTTCAGAGGGAAAGATGTGAAGAAATCATAACATAAAGTGTAGGCTGAACCTACTACCAACAGTGTAGAGGAAAGGACTCTGTTCTCATGTTTCTATCTGACAGCAAGACAAACAGCTTTATTTGTGTGAACCCCAAGACAGGAAGGAGGAGAACTTCCCACTCCATGAGAACATTTATCCTGGCTTCAACGTACAGTACATTCTAGAAGGGCTTAAAATGGCGTAACATAAATAAAAATGAAGATAACAACCTAATAATGAACCAGCCCAAGGCACCTGTTTATTTTAACCACAATTACTCATTTCCATTTGAATGGCATGCTGCATTAATCAGGATCCGAAATCCCAGTTCGCTGCCATTAGGCCATTCTGTGATGTCAAAACATTCCAGTCCCTCTAAAAAAAAAAAAACAAACCCACCAGTGTGTTGTTATCTCCCACCATCACCAGACCATTAGCTTGGGGGTGAGAAGGAGCAAAAAAAAACCCCAAAATCAACATCAACTAAATTAGAAGTTACAGCTGTGGTGAGAGAATTTAGGGTAGTTAGCATGCTATGTAAACACAAGAGGACAGAGTACTTTTGCCCTGCTGTTTCAGAAACCACTCCCTTTCTCCCTCCCAAAGCATGCCTGTCCTTTGCCACCTGAGGGCCACTGCTACTCCTAACTTCTTGCCCATGAAGTTTGGCACTTAAAATGGAAGAAGTGAGAAGTGTCATAGCAATGCTGCTTTACTTGGTGAGCATGTACAGTAAAGCTACTTTGTTGAAAAGGTGATAGAACCTTCTTTTGCCCTTCAGAATACTGGGCAGGAGAGCTAATTTCCTCTGACAGATGTCATCATTAGCTCTAACTACTTTAGTAACTACTTAATTTAAGCTAGAAAAGTGTGTTGGCATGTGTCTAAGATGAATCTGAAATCTAATTCTGAACAGTGCTTCCCTCCTAGCATCCACTGTTGTTCTTAGCTGTATTTGGCTCAGTGCTGCTTGTCCTACACTTGCAGTGAGATTTTCTCATGATTTAAATGTCTAATGCTGTGTATCACCTACTGAGATTTAAAAAACCTAGCATTTGTTTCTCCTCTGAGCTTTACCCTCTACTCCAGATAGTAAAAATAATAATAATTCATTACTTAATTACATGTGTCCAGTACAACTACAGATGCAACTGTGAAGTTCTTGCTCTTTCCTATAATTGCTGTACTAGGAAGGCAATTGGGGAAAGAAATACACCAGCCTGTCTACTGGGGCACCGGGTAGACATGGTTTCTAGAATCACTATTTAACCTGGCCTCTGATTACTTACAACCAACTAGAGACATCAGAGATTAAAGGCACCACTGTAAAGGCAAAGTACTTCAACTGGAAAAGAAGATCTTACAGTGCTTGTCAATACCCTACATTATGGCATACTTTTCTTTCTCTTTTAGTTTAAAATATACCAAATAACTGACTCCCCTCCAGCTGCCAGTATTCAAAAAAGCAGCTATTAAAACGGCTGTACTTAATTCAAAGTAAAACAGTTAGTTAGCTCCTGAACAGATAAAATTCAATTGAAAATTGAAATTGGTTCAAAGGCTAGGAAACAAAACCAGCCTGTTAAACAGGTCTTAGTGGCACAGGCTATAGCCATTCTTTTGTATTTCATACTGCTCTATCTAGGATTTTCTGTGTGCAACATCAAGTAAAAGCAGTATCTATTGTATTATAAAAGACACTGCGGATGAAGAGTTCATTTGCAAAGAAATGAGGAAGGATAGATAAGTCTTTTTGTTCCATTTTCTATTTGGATACTTCTGAGTTCCTTCCAAGAAAGGCGGTAGAGAAACAAAATTACAAGAGCAACATGGGCTGTAGCTATTGAGCTGGGATGCAACATGAATGTTAATTTTACAGTAAAAGTGCTTGCTTTGCTACTGCTGCACCCACACTCTAGCTGACAACTGAAGACCTAGTTTTTGAAAAGCAGAGGTTAAATAAAAGTTAAATGATCAAGCCAGGAGGTTCTGCTTGCTGTCTCATGGCCCTCATGTTCTGACAGCTTGTGAACTAGGTGCTGTAATTCAGTTTGTTAGAAAAACTTTGAGGCTTTGAAACTTTCATGACAAGTTAAAGGTTTGTTCCTGTTTGGTTCAGCAAAAAAATTACTAATACCAAAGAGAACAGAAAGTCATCAAGAGCTCATCACAGCTAAGCTACACAGAAAATGAAAAAAAATTGTTGGAAAGTAGTTTCAGTTCTTTTTTTTTAATATCTGAAGGAAATTAAGTCACAGCACTATGATGTATGCCAAACATCCCCAGAGGTCTTCACTGTAGTCAGCATGTTAGAACTGAAGTGGAAGCTAGAAGGCATAGAGGTGGTGAGTCACTTTCATACCATGGGTACCAATCTAAAAACAAAACCTTTCCTGAATGAAAAACAAACAAACAAAACCCACCAAAACTGGCAGTATAAGCAACAGTGTCTTCCCCTGTAGAAAAGCATTCCAAGTCCTGAAAAGCAAGTCAGGGAGCAACTGTTTGGACACAGATCACGAGAACATAATCTGCTTAAGTTCATACCAATGAACTGTGCAATAAATCTTGTGAGGCCTCTGATCCCACACCTCATGGAAACTTCTGAATCCACAGCAAGCAAAACTACTCCTTTGCTGCAGATAGCCTTCAAGAAAAAAATGCCAACCTCTTTCCTTGCAGAGGGACACAATCCATAAGGAGTCCACTTGGGGAACACTTGCTTCAATTGTTTTAAGAAGACATCAGAGGTTCAGGTGCTGTCTCATTGTATAAAATGCTATGGTAAATGTATAACACCAGCTACAGTTTGCATCTCTACAAACTGCAGAAAGGCTCTAAGGTGCTGAAGTCCCTTGGTAGAGGGAGCAACTAAGTAGCTATAATGGTAAATGAACAGTTAGCTTAAAGATGATGCTACTACTGACTAAAGGATTTTGGACAAAATACTGTGTCACAACCATAGTTCCATTCTTGGACTTTGTGTGGCAGAAGGATTACCCTTCACAGGCATAGACTTTCTAGAGAAAACCTCTGGCCCTGTATAAGCTGAATCCTGCTCTTTCCCCAGCAAAAGAATGAGAAAACACTGGTCTGTCCAGGTAGAAAAAGGCTTGCTGTTAGCCATTGCTTCCAGCCAGTTAGCAACACCAAACTCCAGGGGAACTTCCTGTAAGCCTTAAAGTCATTCCAGCTGGAAGGTCACATACTGCTCTCTGTCTCATACTCAAAGACAAGGACAGAGGAGGCAGTTCTGAAGGCTGCTTGACAAAGGAGGAGTGGCAGACAGTGTTGAAACAAAGGAGTGGCAAGTACTGTCTGCTACAAAGGAAGATCTAGTGACATTAGTTAGGGGCATACTTCTTCAAAGTAATCCTGCCCAGCATCATCTGAACTGAGATTGGAGAGCATAGCAACAGCAAGGCAGCTCAGTGGTGTTGAACCCTCTTCAATGTGAGGACGTCTTGCTGGTTTGAAGATATTAACCCAAATCAGCAGGTTCAATACAACTGAAAACCAGAGGAAACGGAAGGAGGGATGAAGTAGAGATAGTGCTCTTCTCCAGCTGTGAGATAGGCAGGTATAGTCTTATAGACTGTTTGCACCTTAAGTGCTGGAAATGAAACAGTACCACTCTGGTAAGCAAAGTCATAAGATCCTATAGCACCCCTTTACCCCAAATTTGTTTCAGCCATTGATGAGGAAGGGTGGCTTTCTTCCACGTCAGCTGCTAAAAGTTGAGTGAGAAGTGTTTAAAGGAGTCCCGGTCTTCATCATTTGTTTAACTGTCCTCACCTGTAAACACGGTGGAACAGGAGATGTTTTATGATACTGGGACACTAACAGCCTGTGCTGAAGCTCTCTTCAGTCAAGGGGAAGAGGGGATGACAGTAGAGTTTTCCAGCCAAGTCTTGAGAGCTCAGCGGCAGCATTTCACATTGGTCCCCATCAGACAAAGTGCTTTCCTGAAGTCTTCAGCCCTCACGCATCCAGAGGAGGCAAAACCTAGCTCACTGGCACCAGTGAGGGTTGGTGCAGAGATGCCACTGGTCCTATCTAAACAAAACAAAAAACACAAGTGAAAAAGAATAGGAGATGAAAACAAAAAACCTGGAGTGAGTACACCTTGGGGAAATCAAGGGGGTAAAAATACAATCACATTTTCTTTTAAATTATAAATACTTTCCATATAAAGTTATTAAATAAAATGAGTTCCATCCAGTGGCCGCGGTGAGTTCCAGTGATGCTGCTAAGCAATGTCTGGTAATCTTTGAAAAGCGATCTTTGCTCCCCGTTTCTCTTCCTCTTGGTTTAAGTGCAGCAGGGGTTGTCAATGACGAGCATAACATCAATGCCATACACTTCCAGTAGGTCCATAAGGAAACTTCGATCCCCCTGGGGATCCAGGCCCATGCCTCGTGCATGGTCAGCTGTCAGGGTCTTGTCCTGGCTGGCTGACACCTCCATCAGTGTCTGAAATATGCGGTTGTTCTGCTCCATAAAAAACCTAAAGGATAAAGTCAGCTGAGATAATGGCAGTGAACCCCCAAAAGACAGCATATTTACCAAACAGGCAACAGAGCACCAATTAAGGCCATTGTAATCCTACATCCTCCTAACTTGGTGATACTGTAGTAGATTTCTGTCCATCCAACTTTTAATTTACAGTGATGCTTCTATCCGGCTGATTTGCAGTAGCCATTTGCCTCTTCAGAAGAAAGCAACATTGTAAGCTAACATGTACTTTGTGGTAACTAAGTGGGTACATCAGACCTATGTCTCCCAGAGAGCAAAGGAGGAAACAATGTTTTTATCCATCTAGCATGCCACTGAGTAAATAATTCGCCACTATTGGAGGAGAACACAGGTGCAGTAAGAGCTACTTCTTATCTATGGCTTTCCTAGGAATATCCAAGGCTTTGCAAGTAGAGTTCTGACTACATCTGTGCAGCACCACACTAAGTTCTGCCCTGGTGGTCTAACACATTTTCATCCTATAATTTCCCAGCAGCTACACACTGTGACACAGTAGCAATAGGCAGTGAAAAGCTTCAGAGGTGTTACAGGTGTGGTTTCCATCTAATTCTCTAGCTCATACTCTACACCCTGTTCTGGTTCCTCCATTTTCCATTTACAGAGCCTGCTGCACCAGTGGGCTGATTCTCCATGCTCAGGTCTTACCTCTGCACTGTACCTCCCTCACAGATGTTGGTGCTTTCCCAAGCCACATGTTTCTGGCATGAGAAGTTGTGTGGTGCTTATGCTTTCAGAACTGGGAGGGGATTCTTGCACTTCTGAGTACGTTTTAAAAATTTCCTTTCCCCTTCTAGCATCTAAGAGACCCCAGTGGAGACAAACATGGCTGCTTTTGGCTTCTCAAATTGCAAGGAAGATGATCTGAAGAATAAGAACCAGTTTGGCTCTTGGATTCCCTAGGGAACACGGAATTACACTGACCATGGTGTTTCATAATATGCTAAGCAAGCACAACATGAAATCAGTGAAATGTGTTTCTTAATCCCAACAGCAACCAACTAAGCATTAAGAGTAGCCACTCACAAGATGAAAAGATCCTCTTCACAGGAGCTACAGTCCTCACCCACCTCTTGAGAATACATTAACATCTGCCTGAGAGAAGGGAGACAGATTAAATGCACATACCTCCAGTGAACCCAAAAGCATTACAAGCAAACAGTTAACACTGAAGACTTCACATCTGTTTCTTGGAGACAGTCCAGTTAGCACCACTGCCCTGAGGCAACAAGGTAGTATTTATAAGGCATTGGGCTAAAAGTCATGGCATAAGGGTAATATTTTCACTTCTGCTACTGATCAGTAATACATCGCAACCTCTGCTTCTCCTCCTGCCTTCTGTCTGCTTCACCAGTTCACTGGTGGAGTGATTATACATGTGCAGAGTACACAGGGACAATCATACTAATCAGCTACAGTGGAACCAGAGTCTCAGGTGAGCTGAAGCAGTAGAAAATTTGAATAACAGAAAGACATCCTAACATCACATCCCTGTCAGAACCAGGACCGCTCAGATCTCTGTTATTACCTCTGGTCATTAAGCCGTCGGTATTTCTCCTTGTCAGCACTGTTAATTTTCAGGAGTGGTTGCAGATGCTCGTGATGTGTTTTCACATTCTGGTTGTCTACATAGACATCATAGAGATCCCGTTTCTCCTCAAAGATCTTTTCTGTTGTACCTGCCAAAATCAGATGGGATTTTTCAAAACAGCGTATTGCTTTCCCTGCAGACCAACTGCTCTCTCCTGCTTTTGTAGATAGTTAATCCTAGCATGCCTTATCTCTCAACAGTTTTAATCCACAGCTTGGAACCTCTGGATATTTTGCAGCTTGAAATTAAGAAAAGGTCTGCCAAATCCATCATACTTACAGGCCACATACGATACTTCTGTCTCCAGCATTTCTATGTCTGCCACATTCACATAGAAGAATGGTTTGGATTCTGGGACAGTTCCTCCAAGACCAGGTAGAGAAACGTTGGCAAGGCAACAGCAGCAGTACACTGCAGATGAGAGAAGTGCGTGCTAAGATGTACTCCCTGCAAGGGCATTATGAACCCTGCTTACTCAGTTCTCCCACATGCTCTTATGTAAACAGTGGTTAGAGCTTTGAAACGCCCCTGGACACCAGAAAATCTCAAGTGGGAATATACTTTTTGGATAGGAAATAATCAGTTCTCCCACCAGAATCCCATGTTTCAGATTCCACAAATTCATTCGGCAGTCTTATTTTCCAGTGTTTCAAAATGCTAGGTATGCCCTTAGCCCAAAGACTTGAAGAAAAGTGTTTTGTAAAAAAAAAAAAAAAATAGATACATTCAAGGCAAACTTTATCCCCCACAAAGAATGGCTGTGATGGATTTTTAAGACCTGCATGACGTCTCTCCTCTCAGTACCCACAGGCAATTTGGCAGCTCTTTAGCCTACTGTATAGCTCTGTGGTGTCCCTGGAAACATACCTCTATAGCAAACAACTCCAACTGGGGGTGGTGAAAATATCAATATGCGCTTGCGCAGCAGGGCAAACTTCCAGAGGACAAGAATCTGCTCACCAAAGAATTTGATGAACTGAGACATACAGCCAGCAGGGTGTGTGATCTGCAGGTGGAGGGAAAGGGAAGAGAACAGCTTAGAGGTGACACTGGGACACATGCACAGATGCTAAGTCTAAATGTGGGAGCAAGACCAGCACATGGCAATGACAGAGAACTGCAGCTTGTAATAGCCCAAGTCAAGTCTCATCTAAAGCAGCCTGCGAAGTGCTGGAGTGACTTCTTACATAAAGAAGTACAAGACACCAGTAAGGAGCGGCAGCACAGTGCATGTTCCCACAAACCTCAGAGCACCTGCCTCACCTTCATCTCAGGATACATGTATCTGTGGATGGACGGCAGCCAGTGGACCGGCTGCTGGGAGGTGGTGGTGCCCTTGCTGTCAGGGAGAACACCTTTCTTGTCATCATAGAATGCCTCTAGATGGGAGTAGTGCCCTGGCATCTCCAGCTGGTGTCTGGAAGAGAAACGAAAGAGATCTATAGTGCCCCCAAACTCTATTTATTCAATGCCTTGCCCCAAGCCGGTATCTGCTTTTGGAAGTAGCAGAGTAGTCCCGGGTGCCCCAGTTGCACAGACAATCTAGAAGGGCAGTCTGTGCATGAGGAATAACACCAGCTTTCTGTGCAATGAACAAGCAGGATTGAAGCAGACAGTGAACTTTATGTATTTATAGTATAGGACTGATTTACGTATAGGACTGATCCTCTTTCAAAACGTGCTCAGGTAGAATCAGCTTTCTTTTCTACCAAACCCATTTGCCTGACCCACTGACCAGCTCACTGAACACAGCTGAGGCAAGCACAGAGCCAGAATCACAATGACAGGCTTAGAAGCCTCTTGTGAGCTCTCAGTAAAATAGTTTTCAGAAGGACAAGAGAGAAACTCGTCCTCTCAACAAGAGGACACTAACTTCTTGTCCTTTCCCGTAACAGTTACATCCCCACAGTGCTTCAGAAGAAGTAGGGTTTGGAAAGCATTTGATAGCCTGCTAGCAGTGAAGAGTCTGCTGCTAAATCAGTTCCTTCATCCCTTCTCCATTGTGAATTGTACCCCCTCTCTGGTGAGCCAGACATTCAGCGAAGTTATAACTCAGCATTCCACTCTAGTTTACACACATCTAAGACCGCTCTCCACCGAGGCAATGTTACCTTTCCCAGGTGGGGAGCAGCCAGTTCCATCCCCAAGGAAACTTACCTGACCTGGTTCTCCAGGAAGTGCATGTACCTATAAAGCAGGGTGTAAGAAGGAGACAGAATCCCCACAGACTTCATACGGGCACCACGCTCTAACTCACTCTCCACAGGCATGTTGGCAAAGCAGGCCAGCCCAAAACAGAGCCCTTTCCGGAAATAACTGGGGACAAACATTTCACAGAAGAGTTAATGTTAAAAGAAGGGAAGGGAATGAAAGAAAAATATCCTACCAGCAAAAATACTGATTTTTGGAACACAGTTCCTTCTTTAAGAAAACCCCTGAGATCTCACTGCTATCTGAAGGATTGAGAGCTGGCCCTCAACAGGACTGGACCATGGAAAGGTAGAGTTTCTAGTGCTGCTACTACCAGCACCCTGCCAACCACACCACAACATGGCAGCAAGGAGGGAAAGAACTTGAAAGACCAATAGGGGATGCAGGACCCAATCAGCACAGTACTGTTCTTAGGAAGAGCCTGGAATGCATGAGGCTGTGAGCAGAGTCTAGGTACTTCGTCATATTTTGGGTGCCAGCATGTGGAAGCATTACTCCAGTTGAGTGCAAATCTACGTGCCTTTGAGAAAGTAACAGTTACTTCTGACCACAAGGAACAATAACTGCAATTCATTGCAAAACATTGCTGCATTGCAACAGTGGGCTAGTAAAAGCGTGAGAATGCAGAACTAGCCATCAGTCTTTCCACTGTAGGAAGGAACCAGGGGTGAAGAAAGTGACTGAGGACTGTTTATCACAGTTAAAGGATCCTAAAGTGCTGACAGAATTAAGAACCATAGAATTTCTAAGTTCTGATCCCGCAAACTTCTTTCTATTTTACTTCTGCCATTTTCTCTCCTTCACCATAGGTCTCTGCTGACATACACTTGCAGTGCAGCATGATTTGCCCAATAAGCATTAACACTGCACACCCATGAGAAGCTGGCTGACCTCCACAGCCACAGCTGTCACACAGCAGATCCCATACAGCCAGCTGGTACTGGATACAATATTGAGTGTATCTGAACAGTATCTGGCTTAGTGCAGCACAGGTCAGCAGCAGTGCAGTGCAGGAATTTAACTTCATAGGTGGTGTTTTTCTTGCACGTTGTGAGTTAAGGATGGTGATGTAGATGTAGAGCCAAGACAAGGAAGAAGTAACCCAGCTCAGGAATACTCACATGAAGTCTGACTGGATTTTGTGGGACCCACTTGCCATGGATTTGAATTCCACACCTTCCAAATCAATATCTTGAGGTAAACACCACTCCACCATGTTGCCTGAAAATAAGCACATTTATTTGGGTGAATGCAGACATGGTGCTCATTAGTGAAAGGTCAACACCAGCAATAGCCAGCTGCTGCTTTTACATCAGATCTGTGCTGGTAATTCTGACATAACACTGCTCCAGAACTCCCTCTGTCCTGGACAGAGGCTGCAATACTCTACTATGTCTCTTGCAAACTTCACTTCTTGCAGCACAACACCCAGGTACTAAAGAACTGTTTTGGAACTTAGTGCTATTTTGAGTGTTTATCCTTCACATGCTTTGTCGCAGAGCAGCTACCACTCTACCTCACCAGGTACTCTGATAGTGAATAAGCTGTAATATGGATACAGAAAGAACCCTATGCGTAGACTGCTGCTCCATAGGATGAGTTTACGTGACAGATCATAACAGCAGTATCTTCTTGTGGCTATGCAGGATAGGACTGCTGAAAGAGGAGCCCCTACCTAAGCCAGCATCCTGATCATCACTACTCCCTAGAATTTATTTGTTTATTTTCAAGGGTAGGAGGAGATCCAGGCACTGCATGTTTGTACATGCAACAGTAACCAAACGAAAAAAAGCACACAGGTTACACGTTAGATAAAGATTATCACACTGATGTCACCCAGCAACCCAGCCAGATGGCATGCAGTTGTTCAGTGGAAAGGGCCACCTGAAGAGCCCAGTCCTAGAACAGATGGTATCAGAGAATTTGTAACAGGTCCCTGGAGTAGACCAAGACCTGCCTTGCCATGTTATTCCCCATGAGTAAAAATGGGCCCTTCTTAGGCTTTCCCATTACAGCCCTTCAGAGCCTACCTTGTTCACCTGGACACTCTTACTGCAACAACATGCGCTCTAGGTTCTGCCAGTAGTTGAAATGTGAATTTGAAATAATGCAATTTAGTTTTAAAAAACAAAGGATACTTGCTTAAAGCAATGGCACAGGCACTCGTGGGGACAAGCATCCCCCCACGTAGACACTGCATACATTTGGCAGGGCTCTATATGTAGCCAAGGCTGTTAGAAATAGAGGCCTGTGATTTAAATATCTCTGAGACCTGTCTGCTGTGTTATTACTCATACTGCTTAAGTACACGCATGCAAATTCACATTCAGTTGAGCTGTTGACATTTAAATAGGCTATTTTTTCTCCCCATGGATATTGTATTTAGCAGACCTCCCCCAGCCCTGCCTGGGACTTCAAAAAACAACAGCGTGGCACCAGGAGAGATGTGGTACCCTGGCTCTGCCTGCCTACAGGCACACAGCTCCCCAGTGGGCTGGCTGAGCCATGCAGCTTGTGTCATCCCATGCTCCGCCACAACGCGCCTTTGCCTTTAACAAGAGTGAAAGGCTGGCAGAGGGAAGCGGTGACATCATGCCACTGCACGGTCCCCTGTAGGTTTTGCATATTATATATAGATGTTGGCTTTTGTTCTGTGCGAGTTTTGTTTTTTTAAAGGCACAGGACCCTTCCTTGACAGAGTAAGGGAATGACCATTGCCTCCTAACCACAAGGTTGTGGTTACAGCTAGATCCTCTTTTAAGGCTTGCACCACAGAGAATCACGCGTCCGTCATTAGCTCTATATTAATGTATCAACAAGCAAGAGAGCACCACGGAGCAAAGGAAAGTAACTTTGTTTTGTTTATCAGGAGCTCTGCTGTCTGCCAGGTACCGAGATGTTGGTGTGGACACGGCTCAGACAACCTGTGCGCTGCAACGCTAAGGAAGGAAAGGGCATCTTGAGCAGATTCTTATCTGCTGCGTACCCACAAGACCTACTGCATGTCACATAGCTATTTACCCTGGGCTCTGTAGCTACAGGCTGACATCAACAGCCCACACCTGCACTCCTGGCAGTTCCTCACACCGCCGTGCCCTATGAACGTACAGGCGACGTGGCAGCCGGAGAGCCAAGGCGGAGATAAAAAGACTCGAAGTCAGTCTGGTGAAACAGAGCAAACAAAGGACGCGGTGGCAACTGCCAGCCTGCATGAGAAACAGGAGGAGGGAGGACAGCCATGCTGTAGAAAAACAGGAAGCATTTGCCTTCCTCTGCATACGGCAGCTCTCGTGCATGCAGGAAACTTTCCAAGTGAGATCTGAACTTGAGAGAGGCTTTGGCAGGAGACAAATCTGGAAATCTTGTGGGAGCTCTCCCAGCACCAGGTCGGTCAGAAACAGCATTGTCAGTTGCTGGCATGCAAAGTTAAGGATGTTCTTCCAATTCTGCTCTTCTTTTCTTCCCTCTCATCAATGACACCAGCACCTGATGGCTGCAGTAAAGTCACCACCTGGCCGTCCTCGCCAGTAGATGTTTCCCAAGGTCTTCAGGGTGCTGGTCCTTGCACTGCTTCTGTGTTGTACTGGGACAGGAGCTGCACCAGGTGAGATCTCACTGTGTTACGGCTCAGTTTCCCATGTGGAAGAAAAGTGGAACAGAAAACCAGAACATTTACATGCTTTCTGGTGGGCAACTGATTCCTTCTCTCACTTCTCCATTAGGTTTCCCATTACTCCTATCACCCACTAAGCCAACAGGCTGTGAAGGAACTCCACAAAGTTGACTATTATCTCCATCACAGAAAGAGGGCTAAGAAGATTCAGCTTCTTTTCCAGTATTCCAGAAAAGTGAAAGTAGCATTAGATTCACTTAACTTTTTTTTATTTTTTTAAAGCAAAATTTATTGTCCTGTTTCTTTTCTGTACCTACCCAAGGCAGGTATGAGTGTAGGAGAGCATGTGGAGCCTAATGCCAAGTAGGTCACACCTACCGGATATGTCTCAGCAGCTGCCCAAGGTAATCTTGTCTGTCCCAGAGAACAAAGGCACTGGGAAGTTCAGCAGCCTCACGGAAGCACCTTTTGACTGCAGTCTTTGCGGGGATGTGTTGGCACAGACCAGGTGCTCACACTTTTTCAAGTGTCAGAATATTCTCAACTCTTTACTCCCTTAAGGAGAGGGCTGCTACAGGGCAGGGAGCAAAGAGAAGGCAGCACGGTTGGCTCCTGGCCTGCCACCATTCTGCTCTCCTTTTAATAGCCGTGAGGAGGTCTCTGTCAGGTCCCGCAGGTTCACTGTGCTGGAAATGGGGAGAGCACTGCTGGGTTAGGGGCTGCCTCTGACTTCTGGGTTCAGCACACAAAAAGTCCCAGGGACATTGGAACCATATTAGTGAATTGGCAACCCCATAACCTACCCCTGTGAACCCAGGACATGCAATTGCCAGAAATACCAAGCTTGTGGTCCTTGAGCACTTTCAAATTTAGGAGGGAAACTGCTAGAGCCTTTGTTAGTGCAGTCACCACATGTTCCTTCTACAGGAAAAGATCCCTCAAGCTACTGCTCACCAGTATTTGAGCAGACGTTGCCAAGAGTTCTGCCTTTCATGTGCCTGAGCAGGCTTCCACAGGAGGGCTGCTGTGCTTTTCCTAATCAGCATCAACCTGGTTTCAGACACAGTATGGATGATCTCCTTCAAGTCACATGCAGGGACCAGGCACCCTTATGCCCATTACTGTGACATGGTTGCACAACCTGACATGGTTGACCAGAAATTTGTCTTTCCAATGCCAGCAAGCTCCTCTCACTGCAGTTTTGTTTTGTTCTGGGTTTCCATCCTCCGTGGGGTAGTTTGCCTGTGAAGCTGACATCTCAATATGCTCCTCACCTGGTACTCCTTGTGTTCAGCACCAGCACTGTGTGGCAGCAGCACACCGACCCTCAGTGGACACAGCAGCCTGTTCCTGGGCAGATGATACCATACAAACTGCACATCAGATGTGAGAAGAGCTGTTGCCCAACTCTCCCTGGACTCCGTTCAAAGCAACAGCTGGCCCAGACAAACTCCTGAGAAAGTCAAGCTTTCTGCCAACCAGGAAACCTCCCCAATTCATAGAAGGCATATGCTGTCAGATTGAGAGAAAGCTGCTGCCACCATCCGCACTCTGCTGTGTTTTGGGTACTTATGGGAAACACCTCCCTCCCCATCTCCAGTATGAAAGGCAACAGCCAACCTCATTCAGGGTTTTGCTGAATCCCAAGCTTGTGACCTCTAGATTCTCCCTGTGGCAGCACAAAATGGGTGATGTTTTGAGAACCCTCGAGTGTCCCAGGGCACAGCAGTCACAGGTTAGCAGCGTGTGGTCCGACAGCATCCTGGGGCTCCATTCTCCACATTGCTTCTGTGGGCTGCAACTCCGGGCAGGGTCAGCATTCACTTTCAAGGCCTCCTCTGATCTCAGCCCCTCCATCAACAAAACAACACAAAACCAAAACAAACCAACATGCTTTACATCAGAATTATTTTGCTAGGAATTTCTTAAGCGTCCGTCGACAGGGAAAGAAAAAAAAAAAAAAAAAAAAAAAAGAGGACCGTGTTTCCATGCCGGGCTGTGGGTGCGTTGCTGTGCTTCCCACGCTGCTCCCAAACTTCCTACTGGCCCCGGGCCGTGCCCCACTCCTGCCAACACCCCAGGACCGCCGTCGGGCACAGCCACCGGCCGCGCATCCCCACGCAGCCGCCCGTATTTACGGACGCGCGAGGGCGGCGCGGCTCCGCCGGCAGAGCCCCCGGCAGCGCCACGGCCACCGGAGATGCTCCGGGCCGCCACCGACCCGCCGCGCCCGCCCGCGCTCACCCGTGCGGGGGTCGAAGGTGACCACGAAGACGGCCACGATCTGGTCCTCCTCCGCCTCCGCCCGCGGCGGCCCCGCCGCCTCCGCCTCCTCCTCTTCCTCCTCGCAGACCCACGGCGCGGCGCTCCAGCCGCCACCGAGCCGCCGCCCGCCGACGCCGCCCGCCTCGGCCGCGGGTGGCGGTGCGGATACAGCCGGGCCCTCGGCCCAGAAGAGCAGCGGCGCCTCGTCCGCTCGCTCCACCATGGCCGCGCAGAGCCCAGCCGCGCAGCGCCGGCCGCCGGCGGGAGGCGGCTACGGGGCGGGGCGCTGCGGGACGCGCCCACAGGGGACGGGAGGGGCTTATCGGCGGGGAGAGGCGGCGCTCCGTGCGGCCGGACGGGCTCTCCACACGAAGGTCCCGATCCCTGGGGAGCGTAGGACCGTTGGGGCTGGCGACACTGAGATATATACGTGTACGTGTATGTATGTGCTATGAAACGCGTTGTGGAGGAACAGGCAGAAGCAGCTGTGCATGCCCATCCCTGGAGATGTTCAAAGCCAGGCCACGGGCAGCCTGATTCTCTGGGTGGGCTTTAAGGTCCCTTCCAAGCCAAGCCGATCTGTGGTTCTCTGAGTTCAGCTCAAGACAGAAACACAGGGACACCAACACACCCAAGGCACCGGCAGCAGCCAGTCTCAGTGTAATTACCACCCTCGTTATGCTACCACCATTAAGCTTAGCCCATTTCCCTGGGAGTTTCTGATTAATTGGATTACCCAATTAAGCAGGCCACAATTAAAGGGAAAGAATTGCCATAAAGGCTTTAACTGCCCAACTTTTTGCCTGCTGAGCAGCTCCGAGCGCTCAGTACTCCATTAAGGAACTCACGATGCAGTGCCACCAGCATTTCTTTTTCTGTGACGTCCGTGTCCGTTCTCAGTACCAGCACAAGCACAGCAAAGTCACCTAGCAGAGCTGTGAGCGGCTGTGGGTGGTGGTTGGCAGACAGAGGTATCTGCAACAGATGATGGACAAAGAAAAAAAACAAGAGTTCTGCACAGTGCTTTGGTGGTGTATGAAGGGTTTTAAAGAAAAGCCAAATTCTGCTTATACCTGCACACATTGCTCTCACCACATGGGCAGCACCAAGCTGTGCTTTGAGGCATGTTTGTCTGCATGTTGCTGATGACAGCTCGTTTCCCTCTCTGTGCAGAGTTTAAAAGCAAAGGCCCACCACTTTTGTACTTCACCAAAATTAACAGATCTCCATCTCTAGGAATGTGGCCACGTGAGGAGGAAAAAGCCTTCTTCTGATGAAGCTCTAAGAATCATAGAATCATAGAATCCTTAGAGTTGGAAAGAACCTTTAAAGGCCATCTGGTCCAACTCCCCTGCAATGAACAGGGACACCACAGCTATGTCAGGTTGCCCAGGGCCTTATTCAGCCTTGCCCTGAAGGTCTCCAGGGACAGAGCATTAACATCACTAGGCAACCCATTCCAGTGTCCCACCACCCTCACTGTAAAAGACTTCTTTATATCCAACCTAAATCTCCCCACTTTGACCGTGACGCCATAGAACATGAACCAGGAACATGGTCTCTGTATCTTTGAGCAGTCCTCCAGGATAAATAAGAAGCAAAACCAGTGGATTTTAGTTAGATGTGAAATAAGCCTTCCTCACACTCACGTTGATATTCCTTCTTGGGGCAATTGCTTCCCATAGCCCCTGGCAATAACAAAATGCAAAAATGCAAAAAATAAAATAAAAGGTTTGTAAAGGGCAGTGGGTACAACACCAAGCACCTGGCATGTCTTCCTCACAGCAAGTGAACTGCCTGCCACAGCCTTAGGGCAGCTTCAAACACCTGAATGCCCTCAATTCTGACTAACAGGCCAGGTACAAGGGCAGGCTGACCTCGGCTTGATTTGTCCCTTTGTTTTCTGGTGGGAACCCTCCTCAACCTGTGCACTGGGAAGCACGTGCCTATGCTAACAAATCCCCATCTCTTCTGGGCTGTGATCACTTCCAACTTCTGCATGGCCTCTCCCTGATGTCAAAAGGCTTCTGTGACCTCATTCCCAGTTCATTAAAGCTCATTCTGGTTCTTCTTCAAAGCGCAGGCTCACAGAGGTGGCAAGTGATGAGCTTTACACAGAGGCTTTGTCCTTTACCCACTGAGCTGTAGTGGATGACCTGCACATGCCATTGGCATTGGCACAGCCATCCCCTCCTCTCCCAGGGCACATACATGGAACCCACATGCAAGCCTGTGTATTCCCCCTCACAAAGTCTAGCAGGTTAAAAATTAGGCTGCTAACCTCCCCGTGCTGACTGTAATGCTTCCCAACCTAACACACATCTAAACGCAAGATGTTAAATTCAGAACTAAAAAAGAGGAAGCGCTGGACCCATCCCCAGCAGATCCAGCATTTATGTAAGCAAAGCCCACAGAGGCTCCATCTCCGGTGGGATTAACACAAAGCAGCCTGGCTGTCAGCAAACATCACCTCCCCACAAAGCTGAAGGAGAGAAGAGAGTGCAGAAGCAAAGGGATGACTCAGAGCAGAGCTGGCTGCAGGCACAGCATTCAGGTCCATAGCAAAACCCCAACCAGCAGCACAGGCAGGCATGCACAGGTGCTGCTGAGCTCCAGCTGCTTCCCATTAGTGATGATCCTGAGGTGTGGGGTGGTTATAAATGTGCTGGGGTGGGAGAGGGGCTAGTTGTAGGGTGGCTGGTGGCTTCTTGGGGTTTTCTCTGCTTTTACAGATGTATGTAGAGGGAAGGATATTTTGTGGTTGAACAGATTAGGAGTGAGAAAGGTGAAGGGAGTGCTGCAGTGCCTTGTTCTGAGGGATCTGGTGATTTAGTCTTTGTGATGGAGCAGTGGGTGAGGTTCCCCTTGAGGCTCACTGGGAAAGGCAGTTACTTCTGAGCTGTATCTGACTTACACAAATGAAGTGAAAGCCCTATCTGTTATAGTTATGTGACGTAGCTGGACAGGGTTATATGTGAGGATTTGGGGATATTCCTTTATCAGTGCAGTTAAATGACAGCTTTGTGTGCTCCATGCCTCTGTGCATAAAGGGCAAGGGAAATTGGCACAGGGAGCAAGCATGTTAAGTTGGTCTAGGTGAGGAAAGGGGCAGCTACGCTGCCTATGTAAGTAATGCTGTCTTTCTCTCCTGCTTTTCTCCCTCTATCAGGCAGGCTAGGCTCCATTCTATCAGCTCTATTTCATATGGTGAAATGGATGACTGGGAGAACAACAATGACTTCATTCAGAGGCTGGATTTTTCTAACTGTGGAGAAGAGGGTGAAGACAGAAGCATTAACGAGGAGGACACACTGAGTTCCAGCCCAGTCAAGAGCTGTGACTTCCAGAAGTGGAACAGTCCTCTCCCTGCAACTCCTCACAGGAAGCTCAGTGAGATTTTCCTGAGCAGGACTAAATCCTGGATGAGCCCTACCCTGAAATCCTCCCCAGGTGTGAGCAGGACCTGTAGCAGTGCAGAGACACCGCTGCACATCACTTGGAAGAAGCTGCAGCTCTGTGACACCCCACACACTCCCAAGGTACTGGTGTGCATTTCTGTGCCTGGGCTGGCAGGGGCTGTGGTATCACAGGGGCACTGCTGTATGTGTAATATGGGAAAACTGCTGCTAGTTCTGTGGGAAGTAGGTTTTTTTTGTATAAATCCTCATTGGCTTTCTACTCTTCCATTAGAAACTGGGCCCACAGGCTCCTTAGCTGATTATTTTGTAAGTGTGAATAGAAACCTGTGTGTGGGAGCAGGTTCCTTGACACTTTCCAAATTGTTGTTGAAATTAATTAATTGGTACTGATTCAGCCTGTGTTTAAAAAAAAAAAAAAAAAAAAAAAAAAAAAAAAACAGCCACTTGCCTTGGCTGTTGTCTCCCTCCTGCACTGTGTAATGGGCCAGACACATGCAGCATTTATGTAGGCAGTGTGCACAGTGCTCCCAGAAGGATGAATATATCTTTGAGGTGCTAGTTACATAGGGGCAACTTGGAGGCAAGCAGCTGCCCTCGCTGTCTGTTCTGTTCAGCCCATTTTTGGATACAAGTGGGTTTTCTCTTGATGAGGAAGTTGGAAATGATGCTGTTGCTGGGGTGTAATCTGTCTGGTGGACCTGGAACCTTTCCCATCAGCTTGTTGATCATTGATGCTGCTTCTATGTGCACGGAACTGAGCTGTTCAGGGGATCTGGGGAAGGCAGAGCTTTGTTCACAGCAACAAATCAATGTGTGCTTGTGAAGGAAGATCTACCTGTCTTCCTCTGTACCACTCTTCTCATGTGTAATTTAACTACAGGTCTGGCCTCTTTAGAGAATGTTCCCAGCCCCCTATTTTCTTTGAAACTTCTTGTATGAAATAGAATACAACTGATGCAGTCTTATCTAAGAATGATTGTCGAATCAAAGCCACTTTCTGTGTTCCTAGATGTTCCTGTGTTTCTGTTGCATGCACTGGCTTCTAGCATTCAAGATTTGCAATGCCATGTAGCTCTTACAGGCCCTACAGTGCTCCTACTCTGCTGATAGATTGCTATTTGCTGAAGTAGCACACATGATCAATTCCTTTAGTACTTCTGAGCTGCAGTTTGACTCCTAGCCACCTAAGGATTTTGGGTTGTCTCCCTCCAGGCACCTGATTATGTGGGTAGAGGCTGGCCCTAAGACCACATGTAACTATGCGGCCATATAGACTCAGAGAACTGCTCTGCCTCTTCTAAGGGAGAAGTGACTCCAAAGGGCCTTGCTTCAACAATTTCCTGCAATAGTCCTTTAAGAAATCTTCCTGAATCTCACACTAAAATAGGTGAGAGGCCTAGCATTTGCCTCCCGGACCAGATGCACTGCTGGTAGTGCTGAGTGCTTTCAGTGTGTGCTCCTGCATTCAGCAGCACTGTTGGCTGGATACTTTAAGACATGCTTGTAGCATCTTAACAGCAATTGCACCAAATCAGCAGGATTCGTTTGTTTGTGTTCTGGGAGAGATACCTTTGTTTCTCAGTATACTGCAGAAGACAGGCTCTAAAGGGCTTAAATCTGCATGCAGAGGCAGCTGGCAGTGTTGGTCATGGAATGTTTGAAAGAAAAAGAGTAAGAGCAGAGCCACATCTGCACACAGAGCAGCACTGAGGCCCTAGGTAGATTGCATGGCAGAGTAGGCAGATGATTACATTTTATGAACTTAGTCCTCAACTGCTACAGCTAAATTTGGTAGCTGCCTTGTTTTACAGTGAATGTTAGCAGCTACTCTCAGATGATGCTACTGGAGACGTGTCTGTCTGATACTGAAATAGAGCCCTAGTAGAGCAGTTGGTAACTGCATGCATGCAACAGCAGGCTGCAATGGTATTTTATATTCCCTTCTCAATTTGTGCCTAAACTAGAACATAGCCACAAGCCTACAGAGATTCAGAGTGCTGGGCAAGTAGTACTTGGCTGTGTACTGTAGTACTGCTTTTAATGTATCCATATGCAGAGCTTTTCCAACAAGAGCATGGGTGTATAGGTTGGACCTTGAGAAAGTGATTGAGAGGAACTTCAGGGCTACAGTAACTCAGTGGCTACAAATTGTCAATAGGGTGTTGAAAGAGGCATGTCCCAAAAGTAACCATATCCCTGAGTGCCATGCCAGTAGGTGGATGCACTCTACTGTGTAAAGCTCTTTGTTTGTTTGTTTGTGTTTCCAGTCAAACACCAGGGAAAGGGGGGAAGGAGTTCAAGTTATGATCTGGAGCCATATCTTTGCTCATGAAGCCATTCTGTAGGACCAAAACATATATCTTGATCTTCATGGTGGAGCGTTCTTGGTTGAAAGACTACTTTTAAGAGCATTTTATCTAGAAGGAAGAGATGTAATAAGAGCACCTTTAGAAACAAGTTAAAACCAAATTGAATCATGAGACTTATGTCAAAAAAGCTGGTGGTTATAAAGGGGTCACATAATTGTGAAAATCAAGTAGACCTTTCCATTCCTGGATCAAGGCTGGGTGCTTCTTTAAGCTAAGGTTTTAGACAGGGAGACTGAAACCTTAGTTGCCAGTCTTTTGCAGACAGGTAAATTAAAATCCAGAAGTTCTGAAAGCGGAGTTTCTCTTTCCAAGGAAAACAGTTTTCTGGCCACCTTGCCAGCAGCCATACCTAAATATTTCTATTAACTTCCCCATAGTGATGCTGCTTACCACTGAGGAACTGGAAGGGAACTTGGGTGGTGCCCCGTCTCACTTTCCTGACAAACCTGTCCTGACCAAACTGATGCAACAGTCCAGGCTTGACAGAACACAACTATGGTGCAATTTCTGCGGCTCTGTAGGAGGGGAAGGTGAACAGTTGGTTCCTTTTGAGCTTGCAGAAATGGCTCTGCAGCCTAGAAAGCAGCAAACAGTCTGAAAAGGTTTAGTGAATAACTCAACACTTTATGAAAGGAGAAGAAAATTTAGGCCTTGGTGTTTAGGGCTTTAGTGATTCAACTACTCTGATAAAGGGATCAGTTTTCTTTGACTTGCAGGACAGCACTGATTTTATTCTGACTTTGTGGCAACAAAGGTATCTTGCTGGCTCATCTACTGCTCTTTCTCCCCTCAATATAGAGCCTGTTATCTAAGACAGCTTTTCCTTCACCTGGGGCAAAGGTCCCACCCAAAGGCTTCAGACATCTGAGATTTACTCCTGGTGCTGACTTGGATGACTCTACTCAAGCTTCTCTTGTCAACATTAATCCCTTTACACCAGAGTCATACCGACAAATGCTCTTTCTTCCCAATGGCAAGCGGAAAGCCAGAGAGATGTAAGTGAACTGCTCTTAAATAACAGGTGGGAAGGGGTTAGTTTCAACAAGACTAGTAATGAAGGATACATTTTTAGTACCCAGGCTTATTTGCTAACAATGAATTACCCACTTCAGTAATATATTCAGTGATACATGTAGACTTTCCTGAACTTCTGTTACAGAAGGAATCCTGATCTAAGAGGCCAGGTAAAACAGGAGCTACCCACCCAGGTGAGTGCCTCTGCATAATCCCCCCTCAATATGATCATAAGATGCTTACCAAGTCGTAGTGCTTGGTGAAACTTACTCAACCATTGGGGTTTAAACTACTGTGTGACAGAGGATGGTACTTGTAATAGAATCATTCTGAGCTGAATGCCTGCTGTTAAGATTTGAAATAGCAAACTTGCCAATGATTCCTCAAGGAAGCTTGTACCAAAGCAGATCTGAAACTTATACAAGTAACTCTAAAACTCATCTGTTTTGGTCTATAGGTCATGTAATGGTTTGGGCTCCTTAGGGGGCAGGGAGTAATTACTGTATTCGTATACTGTTGAATTACTCTAAATAGTGACTGTACCTATGTGGTTTGAAGGAGCACGTGTATTGCCGTAGCTATGAATCAGTGTACTGAACAACATTGGATGGGAATATAACACAGTTTCTGCATTGCAAATAATGTATAGACCTGTACCACAAAAAAAAAATCTGAATGATTCTGATGTGGATGAGTACTGAAGGCTGAACTTCAGTTGCAGTAGTTGCAATGGCAAAATCCTGAAATGAGGCAGTAAATTCTTGAATGTCCCTCAGTAGGTAAATGTCTTTTTGCTGTAGGTCTTGTTTGAAGTATCCTCTTGACTTATCTGACTTTAGAATGTCCCAAGCAGTGTTTCATGCTAGTTATCAAACTTGGCTACCTTGCACCTCAGTAAGAAAGTAAGTTTCTTTTGTAAGAAAGCTGGGGTACAGAAAAGGGACTCTGCTGTGAGACCAGCAGATCTGAGGAGAGCCTGGCTCCCACTGTGACTTACGTGATAATATCAGTAAACGCAGAGCTACCTAGATTCATGGCCTTGTATACCTTGGTTTTTCAGACTTGACATAGCAAGTTTTTATCAACTGAAAATTCCACTCTGACCAGTGCATGAATTTAGTTGTAATGAGGCCAGCTGTGATTAAGTGTTACTTTGGCTCTCCACTGAAGGTGTGGTGGTGCTGGAAGATGAGCTTGGCATACCCTAGTTGAGCATCTCCTGGCTGATGTCCTTTGCTCTCCTTCCGTGGCTGGTCAGGAGAGATGTGAAAAAGTATTTGGACTTCTTGCCCACCCCATCAAGGGCTTTCTTATTCAACTGGGCTGTCTGTGTATTTTGAAGGCTTCACTATACATTTCCTGCATCCATGGTCCAGCAGGCACAGTCTTAAAGCACGAAACCAAAATTTGCTGGAAAACCTCTGTGGCAGTGTGTGCTGGCTCGCCACATGGGGCAAGGAGCAAGATTGAGTGTGCTCTTGGCCAGCTGGCAGAGCTGGGTCCTGCTATCCTTACTTCTCCACTTCTCATCCTTGCTGGCTTCTGGAAAGGAAGTCAAGTGCAAATCAGATCTGTATTCAGGTGAGGTAAAAATCTCAGTTTTCCTGAGCAGCACTTTTAACCAGGTATTTCTTGTATGTTTTGTTCACTGTAACTGAAATACCTAGACTCACTTGAAGAATAATGATACCCTCTAGTCGAGAAAACTGGTATTGCAGAAAACCTGTAGCAGGTGTAATAATACACAGCTGTAGCTTCTCAAGCATGTGGCATTTGGGACTGGTTCTTTGGAAGAAAGTCTCCATTTTTGTCTTACTGAAACATTATTCCTGCATTCATTTCAACCATAACTGAAACAAAATTGTTACTAGAAGCTGTTTTTATTTCCTGAGCTAATATTTAGCTGTCTTACAAAATTTGGCGTGTTGTGAAGAGCTGCTGTTTCACATGGGCCACATCTTTCTGACTGGGGGACCAAATCCTTCCTTTAAGGTCATATTGCAGTCTAGCAGGAATCACAGCAGTGGTTTTTGTGGAAAGTCATGTGCAACAGGAATCCTTGTCCCTGTAAGGGATGTAGAGGGATAAAGGGAAATCACATAGTCCAGTCTCTTGTTCCCTTCATGCGCCACTACTTTTTTTCCTTCTCTCTCCTGCTGGTAGACATCACTCTACAAGCAGTACCAGCACCTTCTATTTCTCTGATGACCGTTACTGTAACAATAATGTTCCAGCTGCTCTGCAGGCTTTCATCCCTTGGTACAGATGTGGCTCTTGGTGAGGAAATAGCTGGGAATACAAACACTTAGACCTGCTGAAGTACAGTTAGTCAACAGCTGTTGCTTCAGAGCCAATGAGATCCTCAGCTGGTGCATTATGTGCTTGCTGTAGGTGACTTTGACTGCCAGCATAAAGCAGGTTTTATGTAGCTCGGGTAGCATCAATTTCTCCTTAGCTCCAAATAGTCAATAGCTCTCATTTAAACTCAAGCTGAGAACGTGAGTGATGGATACAGAAGTGCTGGACTTCCACGTATCAAGTCTGGTAACAAGTCTTCTCAAGTTTGCAGTAGCTGAGCAGAAGGCAAATACTCTTTCTGCAGTTCTTCCTTGTTTTACTTCATTTGTTGTGGGTGCAGGAACCGGACTGAGCTGCCAAGAGAAGGGATATGACGGTAGTAATGCAAGCCACATACAGCCAACTAAACTGTTTCTTTAGTCCTTAGCTGCATTTTCTAACCCTATGATTAGAATAAATAAATCTTGACTGAGCTGGACGAAGGCAGCCTTTGTTAGGTGCCCAGAAGATTACAAAAATCTTCAAGTGGAAGATACCAGTTGAAAGAGAGAGTTCAGGATGGGAAAGGGAGTAAAATGGGTCTTGTGTTTGGATGAATGATTCACAGCTGTAAAAATGTGATGTGTATCTGAGTCTTTCAACTCATACTGCTGTCTTTGCTGCGCTTATGACCTTCTAGAGGTGTCCTCTGAAAGACAGCAATATGGTTTCCCGCTACCAGAAGGAATTCCTGGAACTGGAAAGGATTGGTGTAGGGGAATTTGGTTCTGTCTACAAATGCATCAAGCGCCTTGACGGATGTGTTTATGCCATCAAACGCTCCAAGAGGCCTCTGGCAGGATCCTCAGATGAGTGAGTGTGCTAGCTGAAATGATGGATGTGTTCTTGGGAGGTGTGATCGGGAAGGAGGGAGTGTGAATATAAAGGTATCTGAAGAGTGGTGGGAGTGAAAACTGGCTGCTGTTTAAATAAGAGGTGGGAGGGTGAAGAAAGATACCATTTTAGGGCAAATAAATACAAATGTCTAAGAGAGGAGAAGCCACATGCGCTATGAAGTGATATGGCAGCTTACCCAGAATCCTCATACCCCATGCAGCCAGTCTGTCTTTAAAACAACTATTAAACTATTTACTTGTGGTATTGGCCTTCCACACAACCTATTTGCATCCGTATTGACCACCTAGTGTTATTCTGCATGCTGATGTGTCGAAGCAATGTCTTTGAAAGTACCTTTTCCACTTTAATAGAAGACTTGTTCAGCGGTGCCTGCATTGGCAGCTGCTTGACAAGCTTGAGGTATTCCTGAATATCCATTTTTAAGGCTTTGCTTCAGCAGCTGTGAGTCAGTCCATCTGCCAAAATCTGAGTCCAAAACATCTCTGCTTTCCCTTTCCCGAGTCAGGCTGCAAATCGAACTCATTGTATGGTCCCACACAGTACCCTGACATCCTGTCACCAATGCTTTTTCTGTGCATGCTTCTCTAGGCAGCTGGCATTGCGTGAGGTTTATGCTCATGCGGTCCTTGGACACCACCCCCATGTTGTGCGCTACTACTCAGCATGGGCAGAAGATGATCACATGATTATACAAAATGAACACTGTAATGGTAAGGGCTGGAGTGTTTTAAAGGCTGAGACGTTGGGTGGGTGCAGCTGAGATGAATGTATCTTATGTTAACATCTTGGGTAGGAGAAAGGGCTCAACAGCCTTAGGGGAATGGAATTAAGTAATGGGTTGAACTGTTTACTCATGCTGCAGGCAGGGTAGAACACTCACCTGGATTTGCTCTGGACACATTTGGTTAGGAAATGCTGGGGAATATGCTTCTGGCTATCAGAGGAGCTGTGAATGCTGGTGTGTTGTTCTCCTTACTCAAATACTACCTCAAGCTGGGAGCTATGATAAGTGGTGATGGCTGTGTAGAGTAGTAATTGCAAATCTGGTGCGGCTACCAGTTAAACATGGGGGCAGATGTTTTCTAGTGGCTGAAAAGCTGAGACTAAAGGAGAAGTGGTGAAAATAAAGATGATGGGAGAGAGGCAATTATATTTTTCTAGTCCTGCAAAAAGGCCAATCAACATTGAGAGCCACAACTTATCTGCCTTGTTGTCAAATGTTGCATTCTTTAATCACATCTGCTGCTGGGAGCTTAATTTCCTTGCTCTGAACACAGTGTTCCATGAGGTCTTCGAATCTCAGACTGACTGTTTTCTTCTAGGTGGGAGTCTCCAAGATGTGCTTCTGGAAAATGCAAAGCATGGTCAGTATTTCCCTGAAACAAAGCTGAAAGAAATTTTGTTACAAGTCTCCATGGGACTAAAATACATCCACAACTCTGGCCTTGTGCACTTGGATATCAAACCTAGTAAGTGCAGCATTCTTCCTCTATCCTCTGAGAACTGCCCTTTCCACACTGACTCTCCTGGTAGACTTCTTACAGTGCTTTAAAGGGAAGAAGATTTTACCCTAGAAAGTGAATGTGCTGTGTGGATTCTGAAACTTTCCACTACTGCTGCTGTAAATCTGAACCTTCTGCAGCAGTTGGTATCATTTGACTTGTCTTGTGATCTTATTCACAGGAATAGTTTCCTCTACTGGAGGAGCTAGTAGGGCTGCTAAAGGAGGAAGACTTCCTTATTTGCTACTGTTTTGTTGTACAATGCTTGATCTTTGTGAGAACTGGAGTGAGAAGTGAATATTTGTTCTGTACCTACCCCGAGGGATTATATTTCTGCAAAAGTAGTAAAAACAACAAAAAAAAACAAAAACAAAACAAACAAACAAAAAAAACTATCTACTTTGTGCAGCTGAGCATGGGCATATTCATGGCAGGGTTCCCTCTGCAGTCATGTGGTTAGATCCTCATAGTGGATGCTCTGTCCTGCTGAAACGTTCCTAGCAGGGGGAGCAGAGCGAGGGGCAGAGAAGGTGATTACAATGGGTAATTTCATACGTAAGATGTAACAGTTTTGTTTCTGATTGGGCAGGAAGCATATTCGTAACTTGGTCTGCAAAGCATGTGTAGTTTTACAGGTGGGTTTACCACAGGATTGTCTGGCTGTTCTACTGATAGCTGCTAAACTTTACTTGTCTTGCAGGTAATATCTTTATCTGTCACAAGCTGGCAGTTGAGGGCCAAGCTGGGCAGGAAGAGAGTGACAGTGATGATGAGTTCTCTTCTGGTGTGATGTATAAGATTGGTAGGTTTTAGCTCACATTGCAACTACCTTAATTCTAAGGTTGCACTTCTGCTTGATGGTGCTCTATCCTGGTTGGTGAAGGGGTTTCTATACAGTACTGACATCATTTAGCATCATTTAAAATCATCCTAAATAACTCTTGTACTCACCAGAATTAATTCCTCTAAAGCCCGCATTTCTGTTTAAAAGCAGGCTTCTGGTTCTTTTGCTGCTTCTGGTAGTTCTGTTGGTACCTTCTGGAAAGTAGAATTTTGTTGATCTACTTCAGTTTGTTCTTAGTCATTCTTTTTTGCTTGCTTGCTTTTTAGGTGATCTTGGCCATGTGACATCAATAGCAAACCCTCAAGTGGAGGAGGGAGACAGACGGTTTTTAGCCAATGAAATTTTGCAGGAGGTAACAGTTGCTGATGGGGTGGTTTGGTGAACAAGGGTAGTGAGCAAGTAGAGAGAGGTCAACAGTAATTAAGGCAAGGAACATGCCAGAATAATGACTTATCTCCTTTTTTCCTGCATCAGGTCTGGCTGTGAAATTGGTAGTTAACTTAATTGGACAAAAATAATGTTGTCCTAACATAATTTATATTGCTCTAACATGTTTTAGAAGCAAGTTGAGATTACTGCAACTATTTTTAGCTTCTAGGGATAAGTTGGACAAAGTTTTACAGTCCATTTCGTGTTACATATCCAGTTGATATGAATCTGCTGGGTGTAACAACTGATGAATGCTTGCACCTGCAGAAATGCTTTGCATACCAAACACTGATCAGGCAGTGTGGAGAGGTGGAAGGCACTGCTGGGGGAATTATGCCCTCTTCTGAAAGATGCATTAGTTCTGCCACTGTGGCCTGTGAACAAAAAGGAAATCCGTTTGTAATAACCAGCTTAGATATGTTGATGAGCTCAAGTATTCAAGACACAGGAGGACAAACATAAGTTGGGGTGGCGAAGGCTGTATCGTGTATTTGTTCAGTTGCTGCTTTTTGAGCTGGTATCCCAACACACCTCTGTTCAGTATAACGTTCTCTGTATAAATGTTCCTCTTATCTCTGCAGCAATACTTCCATTTGCCAAAGGCAGACATCTTTGCCCTGGCGCTCACAGTAGCTCTGGCAGCAGGTGCAGGACCACTGCCTCACAATGGGGCCATGTGGCACCACATCCGCAAGGGCAATATCCCACTGATCCCTCAGAAGCTTCCCAATGGCTTTATTGAACTCCTGAAGGTGAGGCAGTAGCCTTAACAGGAAGGGCGTTTTTCCAGTTGGCATGTGACAGGAAGAGTTGTAAACCCTGACTTTTGCCTTCTAGCTCATGATCCATCCTGACCCAATGGAAAGACCCTCTGCCACAGCTCTTACTAAGCACCCAATCCTCCGTCCTTCACTTGGAAAAGCTGTGCAGCTCCAGAAGCAGCTAAATGTGGAGAAGTGTAAGACTGCCATGCTGGAAAGGTAGGGCTTTTGTGAAGCCACTGGGGCTAGTTGAGCAAGTGCTGATGACCAGGCTTGAATGCAGGGAGGTCCACCAGCAGAAATACCCAGTGACACTGCCTGGATCTACAGGGTGGCAGGGCTGTAGGTAGACATTCATAGTGCCAATGCAGCTGTAGTTCATCTCTGGCTTTTGGATTCTGGCTAAATTAGAGCAGTGAACTTGCACATCTACTGCAGTCATGGATGATGGCCCATGCTGGTACAATATGCAGGCAGATTAACTGATACTGAGCTGAGACAGTGGTTCAGCATGGAAGGGTAAGAGAACTACCAGGTGGTTGCAGGCACCCTCTTCCCATGCTCTCTCACTGCTGCTGGCAGTGATGTTTTGAGATACTAGGATAGTTGCACCTTCCCTCTTGTTGTTGTATTCAGCTGGGAATAGGTTTACAGAGTAGGAAGAAGAACACCTGCTCTGGAAGAGCAGCAAGAACCAGGGTAGGAAGGCAATGGAGAAGAAACATACCTTTATTAGGTATCTACTGCATGGAATAATGCATGGACTGAATACTTCAATTCAGTCCCACCAATAACAATACCTGAAGCAATGTGGAGGAGAAGACCTACCTAGCTGCACTTCATAACAGTGCTGGTCTGGGTACTTTTTGCTGACCTCATGTGCTGACTGCGTAAGTGATCAGTCGATCCAGTCTGCAGGGGTAGTCATAAAGAACTTCTAATTTTCCAAATCAATGCTGGCAAAGTGCTAACTCTCCGATGCAAGGCTGTTCACAGCCTCTGACAGTTGACGGGCATTCATGCATGGTATAGCTTACTTCCCTTCTCTTCCATCTCTTCCCTTGCAGGGAACTAAAAGCAGCTCGCCTTGCCCAGACCCTCATGAAGGACCAGCCCTTAGGAAATGCCAACTTACAGAAGTCTGAGACCTCTCCAAAGAAGAACAACAAGCGCCTTGTGGGAGGAAAGAGTTGTCGCTCATTTAGCTTTACTGTGGGTTACTGAACTTCCGTTATTTGAAAGGCTCTTGCTGCTGAATGACACTGAGAGCACAGGCTCTGCACAGACCAATGCCCCATGCTAGCTCTGCTTGTAAATTTTATTTGTTCCCTCATTAACTATGGTGAGATACTGGCTGAGGAAAGGGAAGAATTATTAGCTCTCAAGCATAAGATGTGATTTAAGAATATTTTCCTCAGTATTGATATTTTCTTGTGTAACTGGTCTAGTTCTAGACTAGGGATAGTTCATCCACAGAAAGAAAAGGGTGGCATTTCCTCTAATTTCCTCTACTTCCCTTTGCTTAGATGGACACTGATCTTTATGTTTTTACTGCTGATCTCCTGTATGTCTTTAGAAGGAAGACAGCATGTCCTGCTGGTCCTTAGCAGTGAGGCAGTTGAAACAACGGTATTATGTTAACTATGTTTGGAGGCAGACCTGTTACACAGCAATCCTGGTGGACTTGGAATGCATTTGGAGTGGTATTTCATTGAGGGAGCAAAGAGTAGACTGCTTTTAGTTAAGGGGGCCCCACTGATTGAGCTGAAGTCGTCTCCCCCCCCTTATCTTTGAGCAACGAGCTCAATCACAACTAAAGTGGCTGAGCTTTTGCAGACCAGACCCTGAAGCCTGGCTTGTGCAGATAGGAAAGGACTTGGCATCAAGTGGGGGTTGTACCTCCAGTATGCAGGTAGGTGGCTTTGCATGCCTATGGGAAATGGAAACTTCTGGGATCTTGCTCATGGAGCAGCTCCACCTGCCTGAAGAATCGGCTTTTAAGCAATGGTGAGGGAAGCTAGAAAACATTTAAGCTTTGGTAGGTTTTTTTTTTTTTTTTTTTTTTTCTCTCCAGAGTTGTCTATTGAAAGTGAATATTTTTCTTTTTTAAGACAATCTCATCCCTCTGCTGAATGTCATGTTCTGGATACTCGTTGGTTGTGTGTGTCTAGCAGAAAGCCAGATGCACATGGTGTACTGCTACGACGGAGAGCATAATGCTTCTGCCTTGGTCACTGTGAGTTTTACTCGAGTAGAGTTTGTGCTCAAGTGTTTGAGAGTACTGTTTTTAAATTATTAAATCTTATCCCTTTAAAAGCAAAAGGCGCCAATAAAGATTTTAACACTTGCTTTTACTGTACTTTGTTTTCTGTGCCTTCCTTCCCTTTCTTTCGCCCCCCACTCCCCCAGGAGCGCTGGTACAGCCCCTACCTTCCCCGGCACGCCTTCCCTGACCATCCCCGCCGTCACCTACCCGGGCAGAGTCGTGTTTCCGCCGGACCCGCTGTATGAAACGCAGCCTCTCCTTTCCGCTTCCGGGCGGGCTCGTGTGGCCGCTGGGCTGGAGCGGCTTAGCCCGGGCTTCTCCCTGCGCGGCGGCGGCATGTGGCGGCGGCCGGCCTGGCGGGTAGGGCGGGCGGGGCGGGGTGGGGTAGGGTGGCGGCTCGCGGGGCTCTCGCTCGCTCCCGGGTCCTGCTGGGAGGAGGCGGGGTTCTCAAGTGCGCGCTGCAGAAGTGCGGTGGTTACGGCGTGTCCTCCCGAAATGATTGCTGTAGATGAACCTTTCTCCTTGGTAGCTGTTTAACCTAGTAGTCTATGAGTAATCCGCTTGGCTACGTTTATCGTAGGTTCACAGGATGGCTTAGGCTGGAGGGGACCTCAAAGCCCACCCAGCCCCATCCCCCTGCCGTGTGCAGGGCTGCCACCCAGCAGCTCAGGCTGCCCGTGGCCCCATCCAACCTGGCCTTGAGCCCCTCTAGGGATGGGGCACCACAGCCTGTGTCTCACGTTGTGTGGAATTGAACTCACACGGTGCTCTTGCAAGTTGCTGGAAAGGAACGTCGCTGCAAAATCTCAGTTGGCACTCAGAAAACGAGCAGTAAAAGCACATGGTGTGAGTGGTGCTCATGCTTCGCGTCCTGGAAACTAACTTCTGTCTGTTCTTCAGGTGTTCCGCCAGTTGGTGAGGCATGAGTCTGGTGATACAGGTGGCTCGTTGGTACTGGAACGATGTAAGTAGTTCCTGTGTGTCTCTGAGGTGATGCTTAGCTGTTACTCTTTGTGTTCTCATCCTGGTTTTAGAATGGCTGAAGTGTGCTAGGGAAGGAACAGAGATGAATGATAGCTGTTGACTGCAGAAACTAATAATGTTGTTTCAAACAAACTCTTCAGGAGCTTCATGTCTTGATCTGTGTCACATCAAGCAGACCTTAAAGGGGAAAGCCAGGAAGCCCTGACAAGGTGTACAGCCTGAAGCAGGAAGGTGGTCTTGCTTTATTAGTGGCAGTGAATCAAGCATACTCTTATGTTTTTTCTTAGCTGCCTCTAGGAGTGCCGTGCTCCTGTTGCTCAGACTTTCATGTGCCTGGGATGTTTGTTTGGGTGCTGCTATTACTGCACTAGGTGTATGTTTGACTCCACCATTCAGTTCATGTGCTCCTAGAGTAATAGTTCTCCTCCACCTCTTCCAGCTTTCCTTCATCAAGAATAAATTGTCTGTTTGTTGCTGATATGTCTGTTAAAATTAGTGACCTCAAATCAGAGGATGTGATGTAATAATGGAACGTTGTTTTGAAGGCATTGTTTTAATTATAGAATAGGTCAATGAACTATTATAGTTTTAGAGCTTAAAAGTCAAAGTGTTTTTAAATAAATGCTAAATAGTCTCATATGACATATAAACGTTTCCTTCCAGTGGTTTGAAAGAAGCTTATAAGGAGGAGTACTGGCTTTTCACATGGTCAGGTAGTGATAGGGTAAGGGGGAATGGCTGTAAACTAAAAGAGAAGAAATTTAGGTTAGATGTTAGGAAGAAATTCTTTACTCAGAGTGGTGAGGCAGTGGCACAGCTGCACAGAGTACCCCATTCCTGGAGGCATTCAAGGCCAGGTTGGATGGGGCCCTGGGCAACCTGAGCTGGTGGGGGGGGGGTTAGGGTTAGGGGGGAAAGGGGGTTGAGTAGCCCTGCCCGCAGCAGGGAGATGTATCTGAGTGGGCTTTGAGGTCCCTTCAAACTAAGCTGTTCTGTGGAAAAAGATGACAAAAGACCAGGAGAAAATAAAGAACCTTCAGCTTTCTAAATTAAGTTACTTAGCAGTGATAACTGTAATAGAGCAGTAACTGCTGTGGGGCCTGATTAGCCCAGTTATAAAAACTGGAAAATGGTCAGAAGGTGTGGGAAATAACTTTTCTGGCTCTTGATAAAAGCTGCTGATTGATTTAAGACTTGTGATCAGAAGGATCATAATTCAGCTGTACAAACCTCTTTGGATTCCTTATTCTCCTCCTACCACTGAAGGGGATAAAATTACTGATTCTGTATTGGTTTGCCCCACACTGCTTAGCGCATCTCACCTTGCATTTACTGCCTTGTGTTTCAGCCATGAATCGTGTTCAGTTACTTGGTCGGGTTGGACAGGACCCTATCATGAGGCAAGTGGATGGAAAAAATCCTGTTACTATATTTTCTCTTGCAACCAATGAGATGTGGCGGACAGGGGAAAATGAAGTAACACAGACAGGTGAGTCTGCAGCAAAGATTGAGCAGGTTGCTGCTGCTGTGCTCTGAAGTTTGCACGTTCAGTAGCACTATGCCTTGTCTTCAGGCTGCTCCGTACATCTCTCAGGTGCAGGGAAGATCCTTTGAGGTAGTTTGTACATCCCTGCCTAAATACTCAACAGCATGTACTAAATAGGGATTTGTTTTGTGACTCTCCACTGGAGAAGTGGAAAGAGTGCTGACTTAGCAGGTTTTTTCTTGCTGGGGTTGCCGGAAGTATTGTGATTCCATACTCTTACTTGCATCCCATGAGGGGAAAAAAGAATGAGTACATCTTCTTTGATTCTTCTATCAGTCTTTATTTACAGTTGTCTCCTTTTCTCTAGCTTTTGTACAGTCTGGAGTCTGTAAGGAGAGGAAAGGGAGGGAAGTCTCATAAGCATTTTTTTTTTCCCAAGAAAACCAATATCTTGGTTTGAACTGTGCTCTTGTACAGTACTAATGCTTGGACACAAATGGGTAGAACACTGAATGCTACATAGCATACTTCCATTTCTTAAATCTTAATTTGAGAACACCAGTGTGTTAAAGCTTGTTTCTGAATCTTACTTCAGTAAGAGGATGTGGCATCCAGCTTTGTTATTTTTATGTAGGTGATATCAGTCAGAAGACAACATGGCACAGGATCTCTGTCTTCAGACCAGGCCTCAGGGATGTTACGTATCAATATGTGAAGAAGGGGTAAGTGAATGTAGTTGAGGACTTAATGCTTTAGTAATCAATTGATGTAAAAATTCATAGAATCATGGTAACATTTAGGTTGGAAATGATCAATAAGATTATCAAGTCCATCCACCATGTAACACTACCAAATCCACCACTAAACCATATTTTTAAGTGCCATATCCACAAGTCTCTTAAATAAATCCAGGTGTAGAGACTCTACCACCACCTTGGGCAGGCTGTCCAATGCCTAAGCACTATTTCTATGAACAAATTTGTACCAGTGTCTTATCTAAATCTTCCAAGTGCAACTTGAGGCTATTTCCTTATCTTGTGTCACTTGTCATCTGACAAAAGAGACTGAAACACAGTTTGCTACAGCCTCCTTTCAGGTAGCTTTAGAGTGATGAAGTCTCCCCTCAGACTCCTATTCTCCAGGCTAATCAGCCATGATTTATTCAGCTGTTCCTCGTAATTCTTGTTTTCTAACTCTTTTACCAGCACTACTGCTCTTCTCTGCACCCACTTAAGCAACTCAATATCTTTCTTGTAGTGAGGGATCCCAAACTGAGCACATACTCAAGGTGCAGTCTTACCAGTGCTGAGTTCAGAAGGGCAGTCAGTTCCGTTGTCCCACTGACCACGCTATTTCTGATGCAAGTCAGGATTCTGTTTACCTTTTTGACCACTTTTGGTGACTGGGAGCTGTACTAAAATAGAAGTGCCTTAAGTAACTTCGTAAACGTGCTACATACAAGTGAGGAAAAAGCCTGTGGATTCAGAATCAAATAAAAAGGAGGAAATGGATGCAGTTCTCTGACTGGAACCAAATTCTTGACTTTTCAGTTCTCGGCTCTATGTTGAAGGGAAACTGGACTACGGTGAATATACAGATAAAAACAACGTGAGGCGGCAGGCGACAACAATTATTGCAGGTAGGGAACAACGCTGTTCCGCTTTGCCTCTTTAAATGGAAAGGGGGTGGAGAACCTTAGAAATTGGGCTTGGCTTGTCTTTGTCCTCAGAATCCGTGGTTGAGGATTCTGAGAGAATGAAGAGGCTTTTTGCAGTTTCTGGACTGTACCACTAGATGTCCCCTGGCACTGCATGTGAAGGGACAGAAAATGAGAGCAATAGTTGCAGGCTATTGCATAGTTTGCTTACACAATCCAATTAGTGGTGCAGGCAGATTTATGTGTTTCAAGGATATTGGCATGAAGTACTGCAAGTCAGCTAGGTTCTTTTTCTAGCCAAAGTAGAGTTTTAGTAGTTCTCTCTCAGGTTTGGCAAGGAATTATTTATTTTAAGTTTGGAGGCTTCACCAACTTTAAGGATCTCTGTGAAAGATATTTGATGGGTAGGAACTTATCATCACACAGTTGTCCCTTGGATAGAAGCAGTGGAGAACTGGGGAACTGAACCTCGAGCCTTAAAATAGCCTGAGGGTAGCCAAGGATATTTGGGTACTGCATCTTTTCTATGGGTGGAGCTACTGTCTTGTGGCTTTTGAAGGAGGGCTGAAATAACCCAGTTGATGAGAAATAATGCATGTTGCTACAGTGCAGCCTCCTTAAAACAATAGCAATCAAATTTTTACATGAGCAGTTCCAGCTACAGGTTGGTGCTTATAAATGGCTTAAGGGGAGAAGCAAATCATTTTTGTTGTTATTCTAATTAGCGTTTATACTATTGGTTTCTTGGTAATGTTCAGTATCCTCAGCCTTAAGAGGTTTCAGAAGCTACTGAGCCTTGATGAAATACTAGTTTCTTATAACCCCATGAGCCGATGGCATGGTAGTGCTTACTGAAAATAAGGAAAAATGGAAATATGCTGTAGCTGATAGAGATCAGTCAAAGAATAAAAATGTTATTTTAAAATGCTTTTATCTTCATACAGCAGATTTTCATCAAGTTAACCCATTTGTTTCATAGCATATTTAGTCATCTTGAATTGTCATCTTTTTGGGGAGATAAAGCCGGAGCCTCCTATCAGACAGTTTTATTCTGTCGAATGTTCTGTTCTGAAATGCATGTCTTTGCAGCTTATTTTAACACAAATAGATTATCTTTGTGATTGTGCAGGCATGCAACACTGCAAAACAATCCTGAAGATTAAATTCTCTTTATTTCTTTTCAGATAACGTAATTTTTCTGAGTGATAATATCAAAGA